CAATAAGGCGTCAGATAACGAAACCAAGACCCACTGCCACGGCAAGAGACAGCTGGAGTCCTATGTAGGCTATGGTGCAGTTGCGGGCATACCAACTACGTCGGAGAAACTGGAAGACTTTTCAAGAAGCGAATTTCCGAACACGCGCCAGCAGTGAGAAGTAAGAACGTCAATGCTCAAATTGCGGCCCATTCAACGAAACCCGGCCATACATTCAAAGTTGATATAGCCGAAATTTTCGAAAGAGGTGACAATCGTGTGAGTCGTCAGTTACTTAAGTCATGGCTTACAGGACCGCAGTTTATAAACAAGGGCCACAACCTGCCCAATCCATGTTCAGTGTTGAGGCTCAATTTGGGCAAAACAAATCGCCACTTGGGGAACGCATAGGCCAAGGCGTCGTCTAACAGCAGCTCCAGGGAGCCACATGGCTGAGCAAGCATCGGGCCTAAGTCCGCTACAGGTGATGAAATTTCGACAGGTCACGAGCCGCACGCCGGCCAGCAAGCAATAAGTGCACGAACGGGCAAATATCCTCGGCAGGGGAGCCGTTGATTGCCATAACTACACAGCAGCATAGTCATTGTATCCTATAAATACTGCAACTCTCTGTGCATGGATTACCCTTTTCTGCTAATGCCTCTGATCATGTATCCGCGACGGATTTTGAAACGCCGGACGAAAAAAAATTCCTGTCCTAGCGATAACACCTGCTTTTTCTGAATTACTTATTTGGACTCGCTTGTTTGCTAGTATTAGCAACGAATGCATTGTCAGTAAGTGGGAGACATTTGGCGATGATTGAAGGTCTCAAGTTGCAGTCGACAAGTCTAGCTGACGACTCGATCAGCGGTGCCAAGATCAACGGAGGAGAAGGCCTCACTGCGTGTTCTTTTAGAGGATATATTAGTCACATGAGGCATCAGAAAACGCCGACGCGCGCTCTCACAAAGAGCGGCTAGACAGCATCATCACGAGCTAACTGGCGCAAGGCAGTTTAAGCAGCCAATGCAAACGCTGTAGCGCTTTAGAATCTAAGTTAACGCAGTGGTTTTACGACAACAAAAAATGCCTACGTTAAAACTAGGAGTATTTTTAAGAGTTCTGGCTAGTGCACGTTGTGAATGCCGGTGTGACGAATCAACAGAAGTAGGCAAACAGGTAGGCTGATTGTCAAAGACCTACTTTGATTTCAAAACGGAATATACGCGCCCTGTTTTATATCGGAAGTTCGCAATAGAGCTCTTGTAGACGGTCGAGCTGAGAAGCTACCGATAATCTAGGTATTTGCACTGTCTGATGAACGCCAAATACACTCACTTGTACCGCTCTGCCTTCGGGCTCTTGTTTAATGTTCAATACCTCTGACCCAATGTCCCAAGGCAGAACGAGACGAATGAGTTCCGTTAGCAGTCAGTGAAAGTTCATCAAATAATGTCAATATCTCCCGATCTAAATGGCCAAGACAATGAGCTGGTGGCTGAATGATTAGAGTATCAGTCTTCCGACCTAAAGATCGTGGGTTCAGACTTCAGGGGTCGCTACCCCTGCGGTTGGATATGGCTAGCTGATGACGGCTAATAAGCCAGAAATGGCCATTATAGTCTCCCTTGCTTTTGCCCGTGATATGCAGAGGGGTAAGGGTCGTGTCGAAGAGACAGGAGGGAGCAACAAACTGCGCTGTGGACAAAAATACAAACCTGTGAACGCATGTGGTGTGTGCGAATAGATCCGGGTTCCAATTGATGTAAAACACGTCAAAGAAGTGACAGAGCGAATTGTAGTCAATCCAAAAGACACCGTTATCTACATATTGGGCCACATTAACATCGAAATTCAGGCGTTTCTGCATCTCCTTCGTCCAGTGCTCCTTGTCCTGGTCGGAGTAATTCCCCTTCCATTTAGTTCGACTCCACGGATTTTTCAAAAGAAGGAGACGAATATTCTAAAGGGAAGGCGGTGGAACAGATTAATGGTAAGTGGATAAAAAGAGACCATTTTAGACCGGTGAATGTTAAATGAGGCGTCATAAAGATCTCAAGTCAGACTTGGCGCCGGAGATGGTAGATGAAATGTCTTACCCCAATTCCGTTGTGAATTAGTGCAATAGGCACATAAGGACTTTTATAGGTCGTCTTCGTAGCATAAACCGTAACCCAAAACTAGCGAATCGGAAGAGCCTTTGCAAGGGGCGAGGGAATTTCAAGGACGCCCTTGCATTATGAGTTTTCTAAGCAGATAAATTGCCGGCAAAGACAAAGGAAACTAGAATGGCCAGTACTGGCTCATTAACCGTCATTAGCCAACCCAAATTGATACCCCACCCGAGGCTCGAAACGATGACCTTTTGATCAGAAGTCTAAAGCTCTAAACATTGAGCCCCGGGCTCGTTATCTTGCCGGTTTAAATAGGGAGTTCTTCTGTCGCGCAGATCAGTATTTGGTAATGGAAACAGACAATGACCTCTCTTCGATGCTTTAGGTCTCTTTCACGCACTCAGGATAGCAGTTGCCTCGAGTTTCAGTGGTTTATTGGTCAAGTCATTGTGGCGAAATCGTTGGTCACATCAGATTGATGATAGCTAATTAGTT